AGGTTCAGGCTTTTTCCTTTCTCAATGAAGTGACTGAGAATGTCTACAACCAGAGTAAAGAGAAAGGGGGAAAGGGGCAGCCTTGCCTAAGACCCCGACTTGCTTGAAAATAACCTTTTGATTCTCCGTTTATCAGCACTGAGAACCAGGCAGGATTGAGTCACCTTTTTATCAACGCACCCATCTTCTTCCAAAACCTCTTAATTCCAACATATTTAGTACACAGTCCCAGTCAACTTTGTCATATGCTTTCTCCAAATCAAGTTTTATAACCACTCCAGACTTGCCTTTTTGTCTTCTATATGCAACACATTCATATTGGTCACTAAAATAATATCAATGATCTTCCTTTTACAGAAGCATATTGACTATTGGAGATTAGATCTCTAAGCACTTCCTTTAATCTGCTTGCCAGCACTTTAGCCACAATTTTATAAATACTGCCCACCAAACTTATTGGCCTAAAGTCCTTTACTTCCAAAACTCCTTTCTTTGGGATTAAGGTGATTAATGTTATATTGCTACCCTTTGTTTATGATGGCTGAATTGAAGAAATCCTTGAACACTTCCATTAAGTCCGACTTCATTGTATCCCAACACAATTGATAGAAGATCAAAGGAAAACCATCCGGACCAGGAGATTTGTCTCCATCCATACCAAAAACCACTTCCTTAGCTTCCCGTTCTTCAAACTCTCTTTCTAGTCAATCTTGTTGTCCCTCTGACAAACAAATTCCTTCCCAATTAGACAAGTAAAAGGATTTGTTGTTACTCTGTGTACAGCTACTTAAAAAAATTCAGAAACTGCTCCACTATCTCCTGTTGTTCTTCCACTTCTCTTTGTGCCACCTTCAGTTCTGAGATGTAATTTTTTCTTCATCTTCCTGTGGCATAGCTATGAAAAAATCTTGAATTTTTATCCCCCTCCTTCAACCATTTTACTCTAGGTTTTTTCCTCCAGTATACTTCTTCTCTCCTAACTACCTTTTCCCACTCTTTCCTTAATTCCTTCCTTCTTCTTCTCCCTTGGCCATCTAAATTCCCATCTTGTTTTTGCAGTCTTACTCATCCAATTCCTGAATTAACTTTTTTTTTTCTCCAGCAGATGCTTTAAACTCTTCCTTTCCCCATGATTTTAACTTCCTCTTTTGGTACTTTAACTTCTGAAGAAAACAAAACCCAGCCCAACCGTCCACCTCACACTCCTCCCACCAAGAGGCCACATTAGATTTGAAATCTTTATGTAGAGTCCAAACCTTCTCTAGTCTAAAGGGGTGTTTTCTCTTTTTAAGACTTCAGTTTGTAACACAATTGGCCAATGATCGGATGTACACCTAGGTCTGATCTCTTGGAATAAGTCGGGGAAGTGTTCCTCCCAATATGTAGTTATCAGGAATCTATCAAGCCTACAACTGATCAGATTCTCCTACATATTCAACCAGGTAAACCTTCCATTGCGAAGGGGGAGATCACGGATGTTGTGTCTTGCTATGAAATCAGAGAACTCTCTCATGCTTCTGGTGATTCTCCTGCTATTAGTGCTTTCGTGGCTGAATCTTGTGACGTTGAAGTCTCCTCCAATACACCATGGGAAGTCTTCAAATTCGTGGAGAGAATCAAGCTCTTCCCAAAATATCGCTCTGTCCCGAGGGGAGTTAGGCCCGTACACTCATGTCAGAATCCGGTTGAAGCCATCTGATACATTTGTAAACAAGACAGAGATGGAGAACTCTCCAGCATCTATTTCTATTCTTGAAACCACCTCCTCCCTCCATGCGATAATGATTCCTCCTGTTGTCCCAATGGCTGGCAAGGTTGCTCATTTCTTCCCTCTTAATCCTCATACAACTTTTATTAATTTCTTATCCACCAAATCCTTTTTAGTTTCCTTTAGGATGACGATATCGGGATTTTCCCTCTAAATGGTTTCTTTCACTAAGCTTCTTTTCATTCCTCCTCCCAAACCCTTATGTTCCAGCTTAGAATCTTCATGGAAGCTCTACCACATTCTTTCCCTTACCAACCCTATTTCCCACACCGGAGGGTGAATTCACCTTCTGACTTGTCAAACCCCATTGGAGTCTTTTCAGCTCCTTGTTTGTCCCTTTCTTCTTCCCCGTTCCTATCTTGGTCAGAATACACATTCTTTTGTTGCTGTTAGTGTCTCCTTCCCGTCTGAATTCCCTTACATTATTCACTTCTGTCGTGCCCAAATTTCTGGTCAACTCCTGTAATCCCACATCTCCAACGTTTGCTCCTTTTTTCTGCACTTGAAGCTTTTCACCGCTCTGGCTATTTGGACCACCTGTCACTGACCCAGAGTGTGAGAAGAACTTTGTCATCGATTGGGAAAGCAACGCACTTGAACCTGAAACACGGACGATAGAGGTTTGAAAGTGAGAACCAGGGAAAGCATGCAAGGAAATTAAAGATTCAGAAGCAATGTTAGAGGGAGAGGGTATGGTAAAGCCTGGGTTGTGGTCAGAGAAAGCCGGTGGCGAACAACTTTGTTCCTTCTGCAGAACACCTGGCTCGGACCCAACTCCATAATATGGGTTCACTAAGTGCATCGGCTGCAAAATCTCGATGCTAACCCAAACTTCTCTCTCTTCAAATAAGAACTTTGACCTTCTACAAGCCACCTCATGGGCATCAGAGACTTCTGAGAAATAAGTAGGGGTGAGCATTCGGTTTATTCGGTTAAAAAACGAACCAAATAAACCGAATTTCTAAAAACTGAACTTATAAAATATAAAACCGAACCAAAACCAAATTATTAAAAAACCAAAACCGAATTTTTCAGCTCGGTTTTTGGTTATTTCAATTAAAACCGAATTTTATTAATATTATACTAATACATATTGTATATTATAATATATATATATATATGTATATGTAAATGTATATTATACATACTAATATTATATATGATATATATTATATACATATTATAATATATTATGTTTTACATATTAATAATATATTATATTATGTATATAATAAATTTCTGTTAATTCGGTTTTTTCGATTAACCAAATTTCTAATCCCGAAAACCGAAACCGAATTAACCAAACCAAAAAAACTGAACCAAACAAACTGAAACTGAAAATTTCAGTCCAGTTTTTCGGTTTTAACCGAACAATGCTCACCCCTGGAAATAAGAGTTTATTTCTGTTTCTGAATCAGATAGCTCGTCTTCTTCTGCAGAAGAATCCAAACAAGGAGTTGGAGGCTTATTTACTTCTCTTCCTATTCCTTTGAGACTGTTGGGAGTGTCAAGAATTTCTTGGTCCTCGAAGGTGGGTGTTTCAAGGATGACTAAATCATCTACTATCTCAGCCAGATAATCCTCGGGGGCTCTGGTCTTAATTCAGTCCTGCTTTCTTGATCGTATAGGAGTCTGATGACCGATCGGGTCGACTCAGTGGGTCGGTTCAAGATTTTGGACTTACCTGAATCCGAACCAACGGGTCCTTCGCTTTTAGCCCCAATCTTCCTTAGAGGTTGAGAGTCTTTCCCTTTTCCTTCTTTACTGTAATTAGAATTTCCGCGCCTATTATCTCTTCTGCGCACAGATTTGTTCTTCGAGCTCCTCCCTTCTTTAGAAGGTTTTTTCGAAAACTTGCATTTGGAGACTTGGACCTCACGCTAACTCCTCTGCACTGCAGCTATTACATCTACCTCCCTTAAACTTCCACATGGCTGAGAGTCGTTTGAGCGAGTCGGCTCAATGATTTGCAGGTGACTTGTTTGTCTTCTCCACTTCGACTACCAAGAAGAACCAAACGTTCCTTTCGAGTAGAGGGATTGAACATGGTACAGAGTGTATCCCCCTACTTCTTACCCTTATTCTTGCGAAACGCATATCCTAGAAGTGCTTCGTTTTTTCATCCACTTCTTCAAGCCCACCACAGAGGCTTCCTATTAAAGTAAACACCTCCTCTTTCCACAGATGAAAGGGTAGACCCCTGATGATTAGCCATCCGTTAAAGCTTAGGGAGTCTGAAATCGCATTCACCATCGGCCACCAGTGGGAGATCAACACCCACTTTCCGAACACAAATATCTTCTCCAACCCTGTCCAAGCCAAGACTACTTCTTCTGGAGCGAAATCCACTGCTCCATTTGACTCAAAGGGGGTTTAGTTGCAACAGAGCGGGGGCATGCAGGTTTGTAGATACCCCTAGCTCTACTTCCCTCCAACTCTGGTCTTCCAGTTTCGTGCACACAAAGGTTTTTTCCAAATACCAAAAGGTTTAGTTTTATGGTCGATAAATGTAAATGCTGATCCCCCTATCTCCACCACTCTACTTCATTTTTCCAGAGTAGGAAAAGACTTCGGTGAGGACGTTGGAAAATTTTGGGTGATCTTACAAGGTAGTAAACACTTTAAGGTTTGTTGAAAGGTCTTCCACCCACTACTATTTTCTTCTTCTGGAATGCATATACTACGCAACTATCTTCTTTCTCCCACTGGCTTAATCAAACATATCTCCCCCATCTATTTTCATTCACTTGAAACAAGAGAACCCTGCCCCTTTCCGCTCGCTTCCTAGGGTCTATAATTCTTCCTTTGTTTCCCACCGCCTTATAAATGCTTTCTGCCAACCAGACTGCTTCTTCTAACCTCAAGATTACTCTCGTCCATGCACCTCTTCCTCGTTCTGTTATTTCTATTTCTTCGAGCTTCCTGCTGGAGATTTGCTCTAAACAACACAGAAACCTTCTCAAAAGAGGGCACTAAGAGCTCTTAAAAAGTCTCATTTCCATAGAAGATAAAAAGTACCAAACATTCAAAGAAACAAATACATTCCACATCAACCAAAACTCATCATACAACCAACAGCAGTGCACATATCAGATAAGATGAAGCCAAAAAACAATATCTTTTCATTCAACCCATCAAAATGCTCAATATCACTCATTTTCTCAATAAAGAAAATATTCTACATTTAACAAACAAGAAATGGGAAATAGAACTATTACCATCGTTAACTTACTTTTTAGAACCTGAAAAATCAAGTTGTTTAAATAAACATGTATTGCACCTTTTCCCAACAAAATGCTTCCAGGTGAACTAACAAAGTCATATATATAGGATGTTGCATCTTCAGTTATCTGCTCAATGCAACAAAATAGGGATTAAATTTTGTTGATTTGAAAGCTTGAGATGAGAACAAACAAAAAACAGCATAAAAGACAATATTAGCATAGAAGGAAATTATAGGCCCTAAAATAAAACACAGGGATGGGAAGGAAGTAGGGGAGGGGTACGATTGTAGTAAAATGATCTTGAAATAGTAATAGGATCCAAATTAAATATAAAACCAAAAAATATATTATAAATGGAAAAAAATTACATAAATTCTAAATCTAAATTAATTCTAAAGACTTATAATACTAAACATAATATTTTGTACATGTATACAAGGTTTAAAATTTCGATATTCGGGGGCGTATCGTATCGTATTTTTGAAAAATGGATATGGGATACGCATGGAAATCAGACGTTTCCCCTTTTTTCATGCGTATCAGACCCATATCAAGGTTGTATCGGGGGTGTATCGGGGCGTATCAGTAGCATATTGACGAAAAAGATACGGCCAAAAACTAAAAAAAAAATAAAGGGGGGAAAGCAAGCTTCTTTTCCCCAAAATAAGCCTTCTTTCACCCCCAAATGACTCTAAAACTCCAAACTTCATTCCTAGAGTGCTAGATTTGCAAAATTTTGCAAGAAATAAGTGTGAATCATTAATTTTTTTAAAGATTTTTCGAATTTTGAAAAAATATGGCAAAAATAGGTAACTTTTGTCAATTTTTTATAATATCTTGTGATTTCTTTTTTTCTTGAATGTTTAAATTTATGTTGATCTACATTTCTTACATTCAAAATCACAATTTTTTTTTGTGTTATCAGTAGATTTATGGAAATTTCATGAAGATATATGGGGAAAATATAAATTAACAAAAAATTTGAAAATGTAATTTTTTCTCTGCAAAGACTAAATAGGTTTTAAATCTATAGATATATCTATCATATCCATATAGCAATTGAAATTTCTTCTTTAATATTTTTTTATTTTTTATATTTTTAGAATTAAAAATAAAAAATAATTAATTATATTTTATCATTTGACCACAGCAATTGAATATATTATAATTCTATGGATGATCTATCATATCCACAAACTAATTGAAATTTCTTCTTTAATAATTATTTTTTTATTTTTGTATTTTTATAATTAAAAATAATAATTAATTATATTTTATTTTATTATTTGATCACAATGATTGAATATATTATAATTCTATGGATGATCTATCATATCCACAAAGCAATTGAAATTTCTTCTTTAATAACTATTTTTTGAATATATTATATAATATTTATTTATTTTTTATAATTTTTGGAAATGAATAATAAATAATTATTAATTATCTTTTCACATAGAAATTGTGTCAATGCATGTTTTATGGTTGGATAGGAGAGTTAGGTTTTTCCCATCCCATAAAACATTAAAACTTAACAATTATAATTTATAAATTATAGTTAAAACATAGGATTTTTAATGAAATCATAATTAGTTACAATATATTTCTTCATAAAACCATTAAAATATATTAATTTAATGTATATACACCTCATTGAGGTCTTATATTTAGTATTGTGGACGTATTTTTATGATTTATTAAAGTATTTATAGTGTTTCCAAGAGTATCTATGTGTATCTTAGTTTTTCTCCAATACGCATGCGTATCCAAGGCGTATCCCGATACATCTCTTAAAATTGCCTTTCCGATACACTTGGCGTTTCTGATACTTTGAACCTTGCATGTATATAATCGGATCGGACCAAGAAATATCCAAATTTGGTCCAATAAATAAACGGATTACATTTTCCGATCCAATTGAACTGATTATGACTAAATAGATATGCAAATCTGACATAAAACAAATTCAGTTAAATCCAAACCATTTGCAGCCCTATAAGAGAAGGGGTTGACATTTAGGTATGTGTAATGATCATGACAGATTCAAATACATCTTCTACTTCAATAGATCCATATTATAGCTTAGAAAAATATCATTTCAGAGAGAGAGAGATTGTCCAAAGTACTGATAAACAAATTACCTTATCCCACATGGCCTGTGGCATTGCAATGAATACAGTCAAGATGGTACATCCAGGACGAATATACCCCTCCAATTCAACTGGCATGCTGGCCAACCACTGGAATATCTGCAAGAATAGATAGCATCACCCATCAATCAAGTTCTAATATATTCTTTCTGAAGCAGATGTATATTCTCCTGTAAATACTAAACTGCAATTATAATTGTTTGGAAATACTTGGTGCCGAAGTCTTCTAGGGAATTCTGCTGGATTCCAGTCATAAAGTTTGAATGATATTCGACCTGTTGGACACTACAAACAAGTAACAAATTAAACAGGTTAAAGATAAGAGTGGGACCTAGAAAAGATACACCTCTTAAAATCTAAAGGGCAATTTGCTAATGGCTTAAGTTGCTGAATGACCTATTGCTTTGTCTTTTAGTGAATAAAATAATTAAATAATAAAGTATTCAAGGGTATACTAATCTACCTAACTTCAGCTTCAACTCTTAAGAAGCTCACAAGCCCCTTAAAAACTTATTCACTAAAAGTCAAAACAATAAGCTTTTCAGTTCAGCACTTAACCCATTTCAGAAACAAAGGCAATATCAGAAAAATGGTAAAATAGGATAAAATTAAGTGCAGACATACCACAGACGAATAAGCATTCTTATTCTCACATAAGGATGATGAAATAGCATATTTAGAGTTCTCTTTTGCTCCATCCACATGGATTTCACCAGAAGCAGCAAACGATGCTACACTATCACTTTGAACATTTTGCAAACTTGGAGCTGAACGAGGTGGAGATACATGTCCGTCCTCAAGCTCCAATGATATTTCACTCTCTGTTACCTTGTTGCTCAAGTATAAAGTATCTAAAAGATGATAAGAGAAGGCAATATGCAATAAATAATGTGACAACATATCTCTGTACAATAGATCTTTTTAAGAGCCTCTTTCTGCTATCTATAGAAGGAAGAACTTGAGGGGCACCTAATACCGAATAAATCATAAGCCAAAATTCAATAACATATCTGAGCAGTCCTTAACTGATAAAAACAGGGAAAGGTAATATAGTTGCATAAGTTCAGAAAAAATGATACCTTTCCCTGCTTCAGTGTCAACAGTAGTATCTTCAGGTGACAGAGACCCAGACCCCTGAGGTTCATTTTCAACTGCACTTCTAAAATCAATAGATTTTCTTCGTCGTCTCTTGTTGTGGCGCTCCAGTTTTCTTCTACAACTCCGTTTACCTTCATCAAAGTCTGACAAGACATGAAACCTGACAACAAAAAAGGAATATTAGGTTGTTTACCCCCAAATGTTGAATGCACCACAATAATTAAAATTTGACAAATGAAAATATAATTCTCCAAAAATATGGCTTGAAATGATCAAGCTACAAGTAGAGTTAGTCTATTATGTCCTAGATTGAACACTTATTTTATTTGTTCTCGTATAGACTAAAGATATAGTAGTAAATATTATGGTCAAAATGATAGAAAAGTCTCCAGACGTTAAATCATGGCATTTCACAGTTCCATCAGCACTCAATTAAGATTCAAGCAAGCATTTATCTACCTATTAAGAACAGTTAGCAGATGTAAAAGGGAAGAACACCAACTATTGAAAAGGCAAAACAAGTCTGCTATCCCATACTTACAAGCAGTAAATCGAAACTCAACCTATATCCTGGGTGTTAATTTCATAAGATGGAGCTGTTTTGATTTTCAGCTACATGTAACAAACTCACCTTGCCTAATCAAGAAAGAACCCAACTCAATGCATGGAATACTACCCGAGGTGAAACCAAAACAGGCATAGGACTTTATTGGTTCATGCCTTTATCCATAATATACAGCACTTCAACTTGGCATTAAATTTTTAGTGTGTATCCAATAAGAAATAACTAAAGGAATCCACTCTGAGTGAGTCTCTTCAAAGGGTTGAAAACATGAAATGCAGAAGCATGCACACACACATCAGAGAGAAGGTTCTTATGAAAGAGCATCTTAGTGAATATGAAGAAGAAGCTGCTGCTGAATATGATGACAAGTTTATGGTTAGAAGACCTGATTTGATGCATAACATCAGTCTGGGCTTCTGGTATGCTGGTTTAGTTCTTCACGGTTAGTTTCAGAGCCTAACCCATATTCCTGGTTTAAATCATACATGGGGCTACATGAGAAAACTAATAATCAACATAGGAAGAGGCCTGATTTGACATGTCTGATCAATCCTGGGGATTTAGATGTATGGTTTGGATTCTCATCAAATGGTTTCATGGAAGGCACCCAACAATAAAGATCAAATGCAAACAGTCTGTATCACAAGGGAAAGTGGCAAAAAAAAGGAATGGTACTCAGTAATAGGGACTAAAGCCTATATTGATAACTATGACTAAAGTTCCATATTCCCACATCAAATTAGCCTGAAAGGGACATTGAAGCTAAGAATGGTTCATCAAATTAGCCTGAAAGGGACTAAAGCCTATGTACCATGACAAAAGTGTTATAGCATATAGACTCTAAACATGTTCTAACTCAGCAGGATCGTTCAACAATTTGACTAAGTCTATTCAAAATAAACAGACTAAGCCAAGCTGATGGACCTCTTGAGACTCCAAGCAATGACAATGCTTGTCTCTGACATTTTCGCGCCATGCAACGGCTATCTGAGTGTTTCTTCGTTCATCTTGATGTGTCAAAACCAAATAAAAACTACAGCAAAGAAAGAGGCCCCGGGGTAACATCCAATTTTTGGTTGCTTGCAAGATTTCCATAATTGTTGTATGGAACGTGGCTCTCAAGAGACAAAAAACGTAGACATTGCAAGAAGTTCGCTGTAACCGTCTTGCTAAGATAAATTATAGGAAATAAATCATAGCTTTTGTTCAATAATTTCCGAGTGTAAAATGGGTTATTTTCCTTATTATCGCTTTATTAGCTACTAAATTGGGGTAACGAAAAGGTCGGTACTCGTACGTAAATCGTAATTGAGGAACAATTACCACTATTGAATGGTTTCCATATTATTCTAGAAGAAAACAAAACAAAAAGGGATAAAGAAAAGAATAATGGTCACTTCTGTGGCTGACAATGTAAAGCTGAAAACTCAAGAAACCAACAGGCAAAATTGACTTACTTGCCACACTGTTGGCAATATCGTTTGGGCTGGCCATCAAGAACAACAGAACTGGCATTGGCACAACGGAGACAAACACGATGCCGCCGATGATAACCCTTGAGCTCACTAATATCAGCCTCGCATCCAGGGACCTGACAGCGGGCTGTGCCCACGGGAGTCGTCCTCGCCCGCTTCTTCCCAACCGCTGCTTCCTCCTCATCCTTCTCATCGATCTCAGGGCAGGCACAAGGAATCCGTCCGGCCAAGAAATTCGAACAGGTCAGCCTCGGGTCCCTCTTCCGCACACGAACGGAACCGTCCGAACCCCGACTTGGAGACGGTTCCGATGCAACTTCCGAAGTAGCAGCAACGGTAGGATTATCGGTTTCCCAAGAAACGATCAATTGATCGTCGTCAACAGTGAAGTCCAAGAGATTCCCCCATTCCCAAGCAGCGGAAGCCTCGTCGAGGAACTGCGGAATCTCCATTTCGGGATTCCTATCTCTGACGGGGGAAACTGGCGGATCTGGTGGTGGAATCTCCATAGTGCGGCAACCCAAACCCTAGAAGAGTGGAGGCATGAGGTAGGAGAGAGGTTAGCGGAGTGGGGACGTCAGCGACGACAGCCTCGGCTTCTGACAGCTGGTGGGGTTGGTGGTGACGCGAAATCGTAAATTCAAAGACAATCAAACCAGGAGTTCAAATCAGGCCCCTCCCTCACCCACAAAACTTTTCCCATAATTTTTCACAGCACATCCCCGCCGTATATTGAGATCATCTCCCAATGATGAAATCATAATGTCGACATTTTTGGAATGAAACTAGGGCTAACTTGTGTTCCGAAATTTCTCCGATTGATGAGGTGACCTCTGAGCTCAGACGGTCATATCATCCGAAGAGCGAGACAAGGAAAAAATGGGAAAAGTGGAATCAATGATATCTGGACAATTGGATCTGACCCCGGTGATTCTGTTTAGCCACAGTTGGAGCCAACATCCACGTGTAAGATATGTAAAAGTCCCCTGGCCCACCACATTAACATGGGGACAGTGTTTATCATATGACACGTGGCAAGTTAGAGTATAACCCATTTTATTCGGTTTCAGGCTTTCGACTTAAAGAGGAAAGAGAATAGGCTTTGACTTGACAAGTTATATTATATGTTCTTGTAGTGAATTTGATTCCTTTTTTGTTTTTTTGATAATGTGAATTTGATTCCTCGCCACTAGGCCATAGGCCATTTCATTAATGTAGTAAGTAGCGTCACTTTTTAGAAGTGTTTATTTATGATTGGGCTATGTAGCCGATTGTGCATACCTTTGTTTGGAGCGGATTCTGAGTAGAATCGTAGAAGAGAAGTAGGGATTATCACGGTATTCGAAAATCTGATTTTAAATTCGATATTAGATATAATTAAATTAAATTTGAATAATTTTTATGTTTAATCGGTCAAATTTGGATATGATCTGATTTAATTTATTAAATATTTAAATTTAACTGATTATTTAATTTGTATATATAATATATAAAATATTTAAATATTTTTATATAAATAAGATATTTTTATACAATTATTAATTACCTAAAATAATTAATTGGACAAATTCAAATTCGAATATTAATTTTCAATGTCCGTTGAATATTGAATCAAATACATGAATCGATTCGAATTCAATCTCATTATATGGAAGTGTGCCAATAATCGTTGCCGAAAATGAAGGGTAAATTAGGGGGATGCTTGTAATAAATAATTGGGAAATCTATGATGCCGAAAAGATACGATATGGAAAGAGTTTTGACCAATCAAAACCCACTCATAAGTTTTGATAGGTTGGCTAGACGTTTATGATACCAGTTGATTGGTCAAATTTTTTTTCGAATATCATATCTTTCCAACATTATAGTCAAAGTGGCAATCACCCTAAATTACAGGGAGTTAGGGACCCTTAGTGATAATTGCTCCCTGAACTTTTATTTTCAACAAATACCCTTGAATATTTACTTTATAATAAATACCCCTTAGCTAAATTACAAAATCCAATTCCATGCTTACACCATTCTCAGAGACTTTTACAGCCATGCATTGGGAATATCTCCATATTTGTATGTCTTTTTCACGTGCAGATATTTTGAAGGCAAGGCTTCAAAGGGAAGGGATTGTACAAACCCTGTGAGCACAAGAGTACCAAATCCAATTTCTTAAGTTACATGATATTGGAATGCACTAAATTACCAAAATACCCTTATGCCCTCATCACCTATCGTTGAAAAAATACTTCCCCTATCTCACTAGCGAAGAAGCTTTGTTACACTTCATTGAAAAAGGGGGGGAAAATCTAGCGAGCTCATACAACAATAAAACTTAACGCACTCGAGTTGGGCTCAGTATGGGACTATGGGTCGAGTTTGACCCCGATGAACCCAATCCAGTTTGGGCTGGTTTTGGTTCTAGTACCTGGTAGCGATGGGTCAATTTCAATTCCGACCCGATTGTTATGAGAATCGATCAATTCAGTTTTAGGTCTAAAATTATAAGCCTTATAAGCTCTGGTTCAGTTTTGGTTAATATTTCTTGTTGAGTTGATTATGGTTTTACCCAAATCTGACCCGTTGATAGCCCTAAGGCTCGAGCCTAAGGCAGGCTCATGTTGGTCAATTAGTCCATACTAAAAACTGATCATTTATGTGTGTGCACATACACACAAAGCCGAGTTTGGACTTCATAAGGGATAGGCTCGAGCCCAATTCGAAAAATTAAAAGACCCAAAATTTTGGACCTGGGTCAATCCAAAGACCAAGAATCTAAACCTAACCCATATAAAATTGCAAATTGGGCCAGTCTAAACTTATGCTGAATACACCCACCTCCATCACTTATCGCTATAAAAAAAAAAAAAAAAAGTAAAAGATATTATAGGTTCTAATATTAGAGAATAAATCAACAAAATAGTTATGATTTATCTTGATATTCCCTAGTTAAGATTGAAGGCTTTAAAGAAGAGAGACAAAAATTACAAATAAAAACATGGATTAAGAGTAAGTTGGCAATTTAAAAACTTTAATAAGACGAATAAAAATCTTTTTCAAAGTTAAGTTGAAGCAACCTACGAAAGGGGTATTTGTCATGGCCCCATATTATGGGGGGGTTCTCAATAAATTACACAAAATGCAAATAAATCCATGTCTAAACACGTCATCAAATTAAGAGTCTAAGTGCATGTTCCCACTAGTCACTAATCATTACATGTCAACATAGTAACAATGTTGGTATCATAGACCTTTATTATATTAAACAATAGGAATTGTGATGAGATGCACATGGTATGGTTGATAAAGCCAACCGCCAACCTCACCCACTATCCAACGCTAATATCTTAATGGTGTACTTGTGGTCACCACACGCCTCTTGTATATTTTTTTCCCAACCTAGTTTTATTGCCACCCACCTTCAATGCTTCTATGCCTCTTGTATATGCCTCTTGTATATTATATGATGCTAATGCTTGTATTGGCTTAATTTGAGACTAACATGTGAATAATAATAATAATAATAATAATAGATAAATATATGACCAATCACACCTTCTTGTGAATTTGATGAAAACCTATTTGATTGGTTAATACTTTCATGTTATTGGTTGACTGGTTGTAAGGGTCTGTTTGGTTTGCAGTCGAAATAGGAGTGAAATCCTTTAGAATCGAAACTGGAATGGTCTATTCGTATGATTTGTTTGGTTCAGATAGGAATGGAAATTGAAATCAATAGGAACGAGATTTCATTCCCAAATGAGGGACAAGGAATGGGCATTCCCTCAAATAGGGGAATAATGTCGTTCCAGCATAAATGGGAATAGGATTTTGATTCCACCCAATCAAATAGTTCAAATAAAAAATAGCTCATTCCAATTTCAATTTCAATTCCAGACCCCTATTCCTGCAAACCAATTTGGGACCTGAGTTCTTTCGATATCATGTCTTTCTGGCATCATAGTTGAACCCATAATAATAATAATAATGTTCCAAAATTATTTTTCACTTTTAGGCTCGGTTTGAAAACAACACAAATGCAAAAATGTGGGGTGCAAAACCTTGTATTTTGTATTATTTCATATGTATTTGCACTTTACATATTTGTATTTATATCCTTTCCGAAGCGAGCCTTACACTCTATTCATTTCTTAGTTGGTTGATTTTGATCCCTCCACCCAGAGAAGGGCCATGTTAATGTCTTACTTTTTCTGTTATTTATTTTGAGGTTTTAAACTTTAGTTGTTGATTAAGTATTACATTTTTTCCAATTCATGGGTTTTTTTAATTTAGCACTCCATACCCCCGACTTTTTTAAGGATGTAAATGAATATCTATTTGGTGATTGAAATGTTAATCAATAAGTGATTATGGCCATAGTTCGCAATATTGATATTGATGTACATATTGCATTTTTGGTATTGTCATTATGATTCAGTTTGGAAGGAGTACAAATACAAATATATATGTACATTGCAAATACATATAAACTAATACGAAATAAAAGGTTCTACATTCTATATATTTGTATTTGATAGGCTCAGTTTAGAAGGATTACAAATGCAAATATATAGAGTTCAAAACATTATAACTTGTATTATTTTGTATGTATTTGTACCATACATATTTGCATTTGTACTCTTTCCAAACTGAGCCTATGGTGCAAATACATATAAAATAATACAAAATACAAGGTTTTACACCCTACATACTTGTATTTGTACTCCTTCCAAGTTGAACCTATATTTCTTGTGTTTTTTGTTTCTTTAATTTCCATTTTGATAGATTGAGAATCCACTTTTGTAGTTGCATTCATTTTTTTTTTTCCATTTGAAATATATTAAGGCCCTGTTTGGTTCGCAGGAATAGGGGTCTGGAATCGGAATCGGAATGGGCTATTCCAATTCCAACTGTTTGGTTGGGCGGAATCAGAATCTCATTCCCATTCCTGCTGGAATGACATTCCCCCATTTAAGAGAATGGCCATTCCCTGGCTCTCCCTTGGGAATGAGATCCCATTCCTGTTGATTTTAATTCCCATTCCCACTCTTGTCCGAACCAAACAAACTATGGGAATGGACCATTCTGATTCCGATTATGGAGGATTTCGATTCCAATTCCAAATCTGATTCTAATTGCAAACCGAACAGATCCTAACTTGCAAATGAAATTATCCAAATAATGAACCAATCACTTAATCATCAAATCCCCATTGTTTCTTTTGTGGAGAAGATTTTTAAGTTTAATAAAATAACAAGAAAAAATAAAATTATTTTAAAAAACAAAAACTGTAGATGTATAACATATTAATTAAATCCAAAATATCAATAACAAATCAATATATATTGGAGATATTATGAACAAAAAAAGGTTCTTAAATAATTTCGTATTGACACTAGAAAAAAAAATTCAAAGAAATTTCACCAAATATCATCAGTATTATGGACCATGAATATAACCAATCAAGAGAGTCATGCGTTCATATCTAATTATGTAATAGTGTTTTGTGTTCAACATAAGTGTTACATTCAACAACTCATGGACATATATTTTGGTTTGGTTGTTGCAAATAAGCTACAACTAGGGTGAGCAAATGGGTGGGTTTTACCCATAATTGAATGGAACTGACCTTGAATTAACCATTGGGTAGGATCCAGTTCCAAATTCTTGGAATCGACCCGCACATAGGCTAGCTCCAAGTACAAGTGGAAACAAAACAAGCTTTTCAAGAACTATTTGAGCTTGGCCCATGAAAAGTTTGATCGACTCGGTTTAAACCAAGCTTCGAGCTGAACTTGAACCCAATATATAGGCTTGTTTGCTAATCGAGTAGTGCTCGAGCCCAATGAAGCTCTGCTCATGAGGCTTATGAGCCTAATACATACCTACATATATAATAAAGATTTTTTTTATTATATGTGTT